GAGTCGTCACTCCCCACTAGTCCTCGTTGAAGCACCCGCGTAAGGGTGTAGCTCCCCCTTGATCCACGCAAGAATCAAGTGCTCTCTATGAGTTGATTCTTTGACACTCCGTCGCGGTGAATCACCTACAACCGCTCACAACTTGAGTTGGGTGTGGCAGAACCTCTTAAGAAATCAGGCCCACGTGCACCTATCGATGTCTCAACAGACCTCAGATAGCGTACACAAGTTCCCAACAACTTAACAGATCTGTCGGGTGTCCTCGGGAAACCCGAAGCATCCACGAATCTTTTCCAAACAGGATCCCAATCACAGTCATTGCAGATTACAACAGTTTTCAATATACATACCAGAGATTATAAAGCGGAAGACTTAAGTTTTCATATTACAAACCAGTTGTTTCAAACTTACAAAACCATAAGTATCATACAACCATAGTAGCGGGATAATATTACATTAACATTATTTATTTCACACAAACTAGTGCCCTGTCCAAAGACCATTCATCATTCCTCATCGTCATCGACTTCAAACACTGACATGCAGGAGGGACCAAAACAAGCCTGCGCATGCGACTCACCTGCAACAAGGGTTAACAAACCCTGAGTATAAAAGTACTCAACAAGACTGACCCGACGAAAAAGGGCGAAGGTCTTAGGGATGCAGGTGTTGGGTCAAGGCAAGGATGTAGAAAGATTCAAAAGTTCTTTGCCAAAAGCTTACTATTCTTGATCCTATTTTCGAGTTTTACCCCTAAGTACTTTAGTTCATTATCTCAAACTAAGTATTCATATCATAAATTCCAATCCTTCTCATTCCATTCTTTTTCTCATGTTTTAGTAATTCACCGGTCCTGCATTGCTTCTGTAATGAATCGAGTCTCCATATCCATGGAGCATCGGCAATTCGAATTGATTCAAGTCCCAGCTGGGGATTCCTTATCACACGACATATGTAGAACTTAAATCTTGCATATATCAACCTCACTACCGGATCCTCCTATACTAAGCCGTCTCCACGCCACCCGAGAGCACAGCACACCTCAAATCCGGCCACATTCAAGCAACGAGGGTACACGCTACTCCTGCCATCTCACCACTCCCAGTGCGTGGACATTCGTCTTAGTATCAGATTAGCTGAAGTAGGCTTACCGGAGTATGTGACCAGTACTACAAAGTGTCTCGTTCAGAAGATCCACAATGAGTGGCCTTTAAGCGACATAGTCGGCAACATTACCCAACATTCAAGATAAGCCACCCGACTAGTCTCTAGTTCATTCTATCTTCTTTCTTTCTTTCTTTGGCCAGTATGCCATCTTTGATTGTATCCAAACTTTTACTTTGAAAGCCTACCATAAAGCATACTAAGCAATTCTACGTCTTTGTAAATGAAATCATCTTCAAGGATAATAAACAATTAACAAGGTAGGCAATGCATCAAATAGGTAACATTTGAATTAATCAACTTAATGCGATAAGTAACATAGGCAATAAACTTTTCAAAGTAAACAAGGTAATGGTTTAATGCATAAACTGGGGCTTGCCTTCGTTGACGATCTCAGGTTCCGGATCAGTACCACAATTATCAAATCCCGTGACAACCGGGGATTCTTCCAGGACTTGCTCAACTAGAATCGTTTCACTCTCGGATTCTACACGAAATGATAACATATGCTTTAACATGATGATAATGTAAACATGATGCTTTCACGGTACATGAAATGTAACAACACCCCGAATACGATTTTCCTTCACGGTACAGTTGCAAGCCAACAAAACCAACTTGCAATTCTACCGGCAAGAACCACACATGTGACTTGACCAAACTGATCTTGAAACCCTACTGGTCACACAACATGACCCAAACAAAAAAAAATTAAACCCTAACCCTAACAATTAGGGTTGCTTTTATTCAATTTTTAATTAATTTGAAATAAGCCCAAAAATAAACTTGTTCCAAATGACCTCAAAATTTTATGTAAGCTTCCTCATAACAAATTAGTGTACCAAAATAAATTTCATAATTTTTGGAGCTACACAGTGACCTACAAAAATTATGGAAATTGCATTTATCAATTAATTGACTAAATTTTTGAACATTAACAATTTATTCAAATTTCAAGTTTAAAATTTTTAAACCATAATAGAGCATGTACAGAAGCTACACAAAAATTTTCAGAATTTTTGGAGCTATGATTATTTTACTACAAATTTCCAAAGATTCAGCACTATTCAAAATAAGAAAATAACAAAAGGCACTGTTCTCTCTCTTGCTCTCACTGATAGCCGGCCCCCACCTGTCATCCCCAACCTCGGGCATTGACTGTGGCTGCGACGGCGCTGACCGGCGCAAACTCGCCGACGATGAGCCCAATAGCGACGGCCAAAGCACTAACATGTTCATAAGAGCTAGGCGCATCGATTAGTGGCACTTTGGAGGTTGATTGCGGCATGGAATAAGGCTGACACCGGCCATGGCGGACGCGGTGGCATGGCAGCGTTACGCCGGCGAAACAAGGTCGGTAACAGTGAAATAGAGAGTATAGGAAGCATCAGGGGCTCACCCTGATCGTGTTGAAGCAACAAGCGGGACCGGAGAAGCTCTGGTGACGCGTTTCGACGGTGACCGGGATCACGGCGGAGCGGACCTCGTCGACGATGGAGTTTCGGCGACTGTAGTGGGCAAAACGAGCAGGCAAGAGTGGAATAAGCACTACAGCATCGAGGCGAAGCCATAGAGTCAACAATCAAGGGCAATGGCTCACCGAATGAGGTTGGCCACGGTGAATCGACGTTTCCGTTGAGGTCACCGGCCGCGAGGAAGATGAACGTGGACAGCGAGCTCTCGATGAACTCAGGCGGTAGCAATAGCTCGGTTGGATGCGCAAGGAGCAGGCGGAACTAGAACATGGCTTTTACGGGGCTTGCTTGCGCTGAGGAGATGAGAGAAGCTCACCGGAGTTGAGACGGCGGCGTCGGGAAAACAGAGTGAAGGAAGAAAAATGAACGGCGTCGTCTGGGTCTTATAGCTTGGCTAGGAGCGCGCGGACTCGACACGCAGCGTGCTCCCATGCCAGCGCGAAGCCAAGGGTGGTCGCAGACACGCCTGGAAGGCCGGAGAAAGGACGCCGGCGGTGGGGCGGTGGTCGGGCTACAGTTTCGAGAAATTACAGAATTGCCACCGAGTTCATTTTGCAAATTACTCTCAAAATTTCTAAAGAAGTTGAAAATCTCCAAAAATGAAAGTTGCTCAACTTTTCAAACTCTACAACTTTGCTTCAAGGAATATTTTCAAATTCTGCCTCCATTTTGAAATTTGAATTTGGGGTGCATTTGAGTATTTGAATCATTTCAAAATTACTCCAAATTTTATATGTAAACTTGAAAAACTTTGAATACCAAAGTTGACCCTTATAAAATAATCTTCAACTTTGCTTTTTGCCTCAACCCCAAATTCCACATGGATTTTGAATTAGTCAAAAGGGGCAAAAAGGACTTTTATAATTTGAATTTGAATTCAAATTTGATTTGTCTTTCTTTTACTTTAACTTTGATTTTTGACCAGTAACATGAACCATTAGGGTTATTTGAGTCAAATGACACATGGCCTCACATGATCACATGAAATTTGACCCTTGTGGTCATGATCTTTATTTAGGGTTTTGAAACACATCACATGAAATAACAAGATTATGAAATAAACCTTATTTAGTGAATGCATTCAAAATTTTCTACTCTATGAATGCTTTGCAATGCATATGATGACATGTCAAATTTTAGTGCTAGGTCAAAACACCAGAGGTGTTACATTGGGTCATCCACAAGCTCCGTCGGATGATCACCAAGCTCCCAATCATGAGCAAGCCGTCTAGGTGATGGCAATCACCAAGAGTAACAAGCACGAGCTCTCACTTGACCACGACAAGCCTAATGAGAAGGGTGGATGCACACTTTGCTACTCTTGCTTTCACTAATGAGGCCTCTCTCTTGGATTCTCAAATCTCAATCACCTCACTAGGACCTTGCTCTCCTTGGCACTCTTAAGGGTGTTTCTTAGCTGTTGAAATGAGCAAAAGTCATCTCTCACATGAATGGAGGAAGTATTATACACCCTTGTTCAAAACGAACTGTTATGTGCCTCTACGGGGTGACCGGATGCTCCGGTCAAGATGACCGGACGCTCCGGTCAGTTCACCCGCCACTGAGCCATTTAAGTTGTGACCGGAGACTGACCAGCGATCCGGTCAGCACTGACCGGACCTGTCCGGTCACGAAAACTGCCCTCTAGAACCTTATTGATGTTGACTAGACTCTGGCACCCAACGTCCGATCACTTTGCTGCTCAGCGTCTGGTCAGTAGCCGACACCTGACCAGCGTCCGATCAGCACTGACCCGACGCGTACGATTAGGATTCTTCCTCTCTGGAACCTTACTGGAGTTCACCGGACTCTGGCACCCAGCGTCCGGTCACATTTCACTTAGCGTCCGGTCGCATCCAGACGACTTCATCTTGATCAAATGAACTAACCGGATTCTGCACCAGTGTCTGGTCACACTGGAACCAGCGTCCGGTCAATATTTGACCATCCATTCACTTCCAACTCACAATCATATGTGAATGAAGTTTGCTCCAATTGATCTTAGGGCTATTTAGGAGATACCTAGTGCTAGATTTGACAAGTGTGCACCACACCTAACCCACTAGACTCACTTAGGTCAAGCCACCCGTCCATACCCCCTTAATAGTACGGCCAAAGGAAAAACAAAGTCCTAAACTACTCTAAGTGTCTCTTCAATGTCAAACGACACTTAGAACTAGTCCATCCTTAACCTTGTTGTCCATCCTTTGAAAACCGAAACGATTTCCATCGTAGGGGCATGACAACCATGATTGCCTAATCAATTTCCATTACCATGACCTAACTTAATTGCATCTGCAAAACACACGTTAATCACAATAATCTCGTATTATCATTAATCATCGAAACCCAACTAGGGGCCTAGATGCTTTCATGGTCAATGTCAAGCAAATCTTTCCTACAGTGGTAGACATATATCTCATTAGATTTGGATGTGTACAAACAAGTGTGTGTCAGATACCTTATGTGTTTGAGCAATGTGTGTGTTTAAGCTAAGTTTGACATTGGATAGTTTCAATAATGATGTGTACAAGCAAATCATATTTTGGTTTAATGGATTTATCTAAATGTTGTAGTGACCATGTATGGCTGTTCTGAAAAATTAATATCATGCCAATATTGTGCGTGATAATTGGGTCTCTAAATATACCAACAAAACATTAAGCGTTGCAACAGATGCTTCAACATATAACAACCAAATATGTAGTTTGGCAATAGAGGGTTCACCTATAGCAACTACATTTATCATGGCAATAGAGGGTTTCCCCTATAGCAACCAAACATTTAGCGTGGCAATTGAGGATTTCACCTATAGCAACCAAATAACGAGTGTGGCAATAGAGGCTATAATCTATAGCAACCAAATATTTAGTGTGGCAAGAGAGGGTTCCACCTATAATAACCAAATAACAACTGTGGCAATAGAGGGTTCCACCTATTGCCATGCTTTTGATGTGTGGCAATATAGTCTATTGCAACACCTATTTCGTTGCATATTGCAGCGGAACAAACTACGTGGCAATTGGTTCTATTCATTTTAACACTAGACAAAATGTGCCTAGAGCTCAAAAAGGTGTTACAAACAATATACTACATAATATGTAAGTGTTACTACAACTTAAAAAAAGTGTTACAATAGATAACCCCGTTAACACTTGGCAAATGTTCTACTAGATAAATAAAAGTATTATAATAGATCAATCTATAGTAACAAAACCAATTAAAACATAATTTTTTTAGTGTTACTAAAAGTGCTAGTAATATTTTTTGTGCTATAGTAGTGCTGCTGGCTGCCGCGGAGCCACCTCGCTGTACGTGAACGACGCAGAGCACTTGGGCACTACTGCTGCTGCCGCCGCCGACGGCGGCCACCTCGCCCTCGGCGACGCACGAACTAGCGGACTGGCGGGCAGACCTCCCGGGGCCGTGTGGTGGCCACGGTTGAAATGACCCCAATTTCCGCGAAGGGAAATCCACAGTGTCGAAGTGTAATAAGACCATTGTAGATCATATTACCCTAAATTCTAGTCGAATATCACATCCATACAACGATAATATCAGAGTACAAATAGTGCGGAATTACATAAATTTATTACATCGCCGTATTGGCGGAATTAAAAGTAGCATTCATTCAGAACGGCTTGAAGATAAGATCGCCAAACTCGAGCGTAGGAACGAACCCCTCAACCATCCTACTCCTCGGAGCTATACTCCTCAGCAGAACCTATGTGCCAAAATTTATCAGTACGATTTGTACTGGCCACTGCCAACCCTATGAGCATTACTTTGTGGAAATTGGATGCAAGTTGGATATACTCAAAAGGAACCTATAAGGCTGGGGTTTCCTGTGTTTTTAGCATATCAAGTACATAATAACAGTTGGTCAAGTTTTTAACATCATTCTCACACCCATTCCACCCCACTCCCATTCCAGAGCCAGGTTTCGATCCTAGGATCGATACACCACCATCTCCACACCCTCTACATACCACACCCATACCATCGCTCAGTCGATAGGCCAACTCCCTCTCGGCACTGTCTCAAGGCCCATAGCCCCTGGCTACGTCCGAACACTCGCTCCCAGGGGGAGAAGAGAAGGACTCATCTCACTATCTAGTTTAAGCGAAACCCAGGAAGGGTCCATAGCCGACGAGTCGGCATATGTATCGATCGATCAACCATACACTCTACAGAGGTTTTACATAACCACAAGATCTGCCTTCCTCGCTGACCGTCATCAACTGGGCTGATTCTGACCGCTTGCTAGCTTAGGATAATGCCACTCTACCATTTAGCCCTGATACACCCCAAGTCTGGTCTGGGGTGGCTGAAACTGTGAGTCATGAGCCGGGTCCACAAGGTCTCCATGAAGTCTCGGAAGGGTGTGGGGGAAATCCTCCGCACCCCGTACCTTCCTCACACTGTCCGCTATCAACCAAGCAGTAGTGGCAATATCCCACCAAGTAGTCCGGCCGTCCCACACCATGTAGGGCGAGTGGTACGTAAGGCTTCCCGGTGAATCTGAGTACTAGTAAGTCCTTAGGGATGACCAAGCCAGAATGTCTTCATCAGGGTTTCCATTACCGTGCCACCACAGCACCTCCACCCTGGGCTCCTCCCATCATAGGATCACACTCAGGGCCACCTCATATACCATTTACCCACCACAGGTATCCATTCCAGGGGTGCCCAGGTAGCACCCCATGGCAAGACTTGCCCTAGGCTCATCGTATACTCCAACTTGGTCGACACAACCCTCACCCTCCACGCACCCAAGTCACACACGCATCACTCTCCCTAATCACCAGTTTCCACCACGCATCAATGTAGTGCAAGCGTAGTAGAAGTATTAAGCAATGAAATAGCAAGCGTGTGACTAGCCTAACAGCATGGTGAGCAGGGGTAAGGTTGCGTCAAGGTAAAGGCCATCAAGAAAGCATTCTACCATGCAAGTCCTATCATAGTGTGATTACAACCATAAAGTAAAGCACTAGCATTTCTATTTTAGCCATGCGTAATAGGTGCTACGAGGTTGGGTGGGATGTGGCACCTTCAGTGTAGTCGTCTCCGTACTCCTCACGGTACTCACGATCCTCGTCCGTCCGGTTCTCCTCCAAGTTTGCAAACGATCGCATTATAGTCGCGTTAGCGACGTCTATAGAGTAGCATAAAGAAGCAATGAAAATTCAAAAGAGCCAAATGCACTCAAACATGGGTTCATTGCGTAGAGCTCGATTTTAGATGAATTTTGGTCCTGATTACGTATTTTTCTGAGGTCATATGAATTAGTTATGAATTTTCAAAGATTAATTCCATTTCTAAAAATGAAAAAGGCTGAATTAATCCTAGGTTGACACGTGTCACGTTGTGACTGGTCCACGTGGCATGCTGACGTCAGCATGACGTCACCTCAGCTGTGCTGCTACTGACAGGTGGGTCCCGCGTGATGTCAGCATGACGTCATCATCTGACATGTGGGTCTAGTGTGTCTGTGCCACTGACATGCGGGGCCAAGTCAACGGTTGACGCTGATCGGTCAACGGTCAATACGGGCCGGGTCTCATACGGGCTTTGGTGGGCTCGGGTTGGGCTGGTCTGGGCCAGGCTTTGGCCCACCATGTGGCATGCTGTGGCGCTGCCACGTCACGGCCTTGGGCCACCACTGGGCTGTGGTCTTCAACTATGGGCGTGAGCGTGGCTCATGGTGGACCAAGAGGCGCTGGTCCATGGACCGCAGACAGGTCTACAGTGGTCCGAGTCCACCCTTCATCTCTCAGGCGTGGTCCATGTGCACCGTGTTCATGCGTGTGTGGCCAGCGAGGGGAGTCTTCCCTGCTATCTTGCCGGCGTGTTCCCGTCGGCGACGTGCTCACCGGCGAGCTCCCGCAACGGCTCAGGCGTCCAATTGAGGTGGGGAAAAGCCTCCCCGCGCCATGGCGACTGCAACGGTGGGGTCAGGACGACGAATGGTGCTTCCTAGGTCACTGGCCACGGCGAACGGCGGCTCGAGCTCAATCGGCGTGCGGGGGTGGCGCGGGTGCAGCGGCATAGGCTGGTTCTGTGGTGCGTGTGAGCATCATAGTGCTCCAGCGGGCATGTTGGGCAGGTCGAGGGGTCCTCGAGGGCCTCCGGTGGCCTAGGCCACGGCGGCGGCCTTCCGAGCATGATGGCGGCGTCGGTGAGGTGGCTATGGTCACGGTGAAACATCTCGATGGGGGCGTGTAAGCTTCTACGGATTCGTGGGGATGCGGCGAGGACGTCCAGGCTCAAGGCGGGGTTCGGGTTCTCCTATGGCCGGTGGGGGTTCTCCGGCGGCCACGGCGACATGGTGACGACGGTGAGGCGCACGGGTGCACTACGGGGCTCCAGCGGGGTGGTCACGGCATGCGCATGAGTTACCCGTGGCTCTAGCGAATAGGATGGGCGAGACAAGGAGACGCTAGGCGCTCCTAGCGGACCTAGCCACGGTGGTCTGGTGCATGGGCCGGTGGTGGTGGTGCTCTGCCTTGGCGTCCATGGGGCTTGGAGGGGTCTACAACGTCCAAGGGCTCAGAGGTGGTCGTGGTGTGCGCATGAGCGTGCTATGCTGGTGTGCCTAGAGATCGGAGATGACCTTGGCCTACGCGCTCACGGTATGGAGCGCCATGGCCGGCTTGGTATGGTCCAGCGGCGAGCAGTGGAAGAACCGGGGCTCACCGTCGGTGTTGAGGGCGAGAGGATAGCGGTGCAATGAAGAGTCGAGGCTATGTAGCTCCAGAAGCCATGCTATGCAGTGTCGCCCGCTCCGGCTTGATCCGTGGCGGTGCTTCGAATCCCGGCGTGCTCCGGTCCTCTTCCCAGCAGTGGCTCCGCCGTTCTCTTCCGAACTCTTCCTCGGCCTTCTACTCTTAGTGTGAAGTGGTTGGCCACCAAGTGGCGGCGGGCAATGGGACGAGCGCTAGGGCAATCGAGGACCGAGCTTTATAGCCGCGCTTCATGCTCCCATGGCGGACAGCGATCGAGTGGTGGAGACGTGTTCGGTGGCATCCAATGGCTCGCGTGCGGTGGCATAGGCGCGGCGCAAAGGAGAGACAGGGCCATGCCCTCGGCGTGACCCCCTGGCCTGCCCTGCCACCGCTGTCGGGCGCCGGTCGTGTAGGCGGTTGAGGCGTGGGTGAGGAAGACGACATCTGTCTTTGAGTGTGTGGCCGACGCGTGGGGCCCGATGGCGGCGGGGCGCAAGTGAGACGGGAAACATGCAATGCGTGGGGCGACGTCGTGGTGACGCGTGGGGGCCAAATGGCGCTGGCAATGGCAGGTATGTTGGCATGCATGGCGACGGCGGCATCCTAAGTAGGCCTCATTGGGCAGCGTCATGCATGTGCACTAGGGCTGGCTGGGCCACAAAGCCGAGCGGCT